CCAGTCACCATTCATCTGTTACCGTCCAGTCCCGATTCTTCGGTTTGGGGAAACTTTGAAAACATTTTCCATTTGGCCTATTAAGCAGCTATGTACTCTAATTCTGTGATTTTATTGCGCTTCAAAAAAAATATTTTCTGCTCTTGAAATGGATATGGTGTGTAAATTTTTACAGAGGACTTTTGATGTTTTGCTGGAGTTCTGAACCAACAACAGTTCCAAGATGTATAATGTATATTATTTCTTAAATGTTATTTTTTAAGAACTTGAATTAATTACTCGTTACCTTAAACGTTTCAATGAGCAAATATGTGAGGCAGATTTTGTCTTGACTAACGAAAGATTTGCTCTCTTCAGATGTGGGATGTTACGTGCGTCAGCGTGAACGATGTGTGTGGACTGCTGGCAAATAAAGGATTTACTTCTCGCTGACCGTGAACGGAGATCTGGGCTGGAAATGAACACAGGGTCAAACTTGTCGAGTTTTCACTGATGCCATTTTCTTATTCAAGTTTCAAGTGTCTCTTATCATTTCTTGCTTGCAATTTGTACAAACTCCAGCCCACCCGTACATACATGTGATGCCTCTCTGTCCTGAAGTCTACACTCCAAGAAGTCGCACATTTTGTCAGCACCCCTCTCCATCTGTTGGCAGTCTTGGTTTGACGGACATTTCCCACTGAGTGAATCAACATTTTGGACCTTCTGGTTCGTCTCTTTCGGTTTATTTCCTTCCTAAGGAAGAAGAAAAACTGTCTGGTTTTGTTTTTGTGCTTATGTCAGGGGATGTCTCTGTCCGTGGATTTGAACCCGTTTGTTTTTGTTTTTCTATTTTATAATTCCAGCTTTGTTCATGACCATGTAGGCCTATATATATTGTGAAATAAAAAACATATTCCATGACCTTTTTTTGTTGCTTTATTAGACTTGAATGTCTTTTCTGTCACAAAATCAATACAAAATATTTAAAATGAGCTCTTCAAAGCGTTGTTAAAGCTCTGTTGGAGAATGTCTTTGTTCTGTGGTGTAATGTTATGTAACATTCAGCTCCTACTTCAGAGCTTCAGTAAAATCATGTTGGACATTTCCCCGGCAAACTGCATAGCTCTGGCGAGAGGGAATCCTGTTTGCAGCCCTTGAGATCCCCTTTTTGGCCAATGAAAGAGTTTGATAGTTTGCGTTTGTAAACAGTTCAACGACCTCCTTAGAAGGGGAACTCCCTACTTTCCCAGCCTCTCATTGGCTCAAAGCTTCTTAGGCACATTAGCTATTCCAAATGACGTCCAGATACGATCTCGTCAATTGTGCCCTAACGATGGAGAGAATCTCAAATATTGGTCGCGAGAATTTTCTCTCTCTCACAAATATCACATAGTAAAACATAGTAGTATTTTATTTTTGTTATTATAATTTTTGTCTGTCTGCAAAGTGTTGTTAACCCGCGGGGCGGTGACCACTGACTGAAGTGTACATCCCCCCCCCCTCCCCCCCT